TGAGTTTAATCAGGGGAGGGGGATTAAACTAGGTAATTTCTATAGTCCCCTTTAGCTTCAATGTTGTGAGAGCCTAAAAATAGCATTCTTTTAAGTTATTACTTTAAAAGTAGGTAAAAATTTTGCAATTAGAAACATAATATTTTATTATATTTCTCTTTTTCTCCCATAAAACAACCCTATATATATATATTTTTTAACTATTTGAAACGTACCTTTCAGATTCTTCATATCAGGTGACACTTACTAATTCAGTACCTTACTAGTCTTGGGCCTCCTGAACATGGGAAATGAGAAGCCTTGGGTCCTCAGGATTAGAGTTTTTCCAGAGTCAGTTTCAGCTCAGTGCCATCATCAGTCTAAGTAAATCCCTCAGGTTAATCTTAAACAAGGCTCAGAAATAAGTGCATTGATGCATTTGGCTCACTACAGAGTTACCATTTATTTTGCCCTCTGAAAATACTAGCCAACAATACATTTAAAACACAGTATTTTAATTATGAACTAGAAGTCTTGCATCATTATTTGCTAACAATAGTAGGTCGTTTCCCAAAAGATTTCATTTTTTGGAAACATAATGGGAATGATAATGCTAATGGAGGAGGCCGAATTAGAGATATTTTAACAGGGAAAAGAAAATATTTATTGCTTGTCAATCAGTATTTTTGATATCCCATTGCATGCAAAGCAGTATATAGCATATTCTTTCTTTATTATGCATCATATATATTTCATTATAAACTATGAATATACAGAACATTATAAAACCTCTTTTGTCTTGATTGACTAGCATCCCTTTTATCTTAAACATATAAACAATTTTTTCTTTTGGATTGTCTGTCTCAAACGTTTTAATATTGGTGTCTGTCTTAGTCATCTAGTGCTGCTCTAACAGAGATACCACGAGTGGATGGTTTTAACAAAGAGAAATTTATTCTCTCACAGTCCAGTAGGCTACAAGTCAAATTCAGGGCATCAGCTCCAGGGGAACACTTTCTCCATCGGCTCTGGAGGAAAGTCCATGTTGTCAGTCTTCCTTTGGTCTGGGAACCTCTCTGCGCAGGAACCTCAGGTCCAAAGGATGCACTCTGCTCCCAGCACTGCTTTCTTGGTGGTATGAGTTTCCCATGTGTCTCTGCTCCCTTCTCTCTTTTATATCTCAAAAGAGATTGCATTAAGACACTGATCTCGTCAACCTCATCAGTATAACCTCATCACAGTGATAGAATTTACAACACATGAGGAGATCACATATAATCTCATCATAGTGGTAGAGT